CATGTGCCTGGTCGGTACTTGGTCGATGGGTTGGCAGACGAAGTTGCAATGCCCCGCAACATCGTTCGGCTCATTGCGGGCCTCATCTTGGGGTGTGTGCTCGCGCCATTGTCCCATCTTACCTCGACGCCGAACTCTCGCCACGTTCTCAACACTGTGCTCGGAATCGGTATTGGCTGGTTCGTGTTTGATATCAACATTGTGCACAGCCTAGTGCCTACGCTGGTGACGTATGTGCTCATTTCGTTTGCCCCTCGGTTGGTCCTTGATTCCAGATACCCCAGTAGCGCGCAGAGAAACCTGACAATCTGGCTAGATCGTGGGTCGGTTGCACGGCATCTGCCGTGCTCTTTCTGCATCTTATCGCCAGGTACACACCCAAAGGTTCTGGAACGTCACAGTTGCGTCGCCATGACACAAGCACGTACATGTAGCCATGCGTATCGCGAGCTGTGGGGCGCCGACATCATTTGGGATGGAGCTCAGATGGTGTTGACGATGAAATTGGCTGGAACCGCCATCAGCTATGGAGATGGCGCGTTGCCCAGGAAGGAGAAAACGCCAAGTATCATGCGCAATCAGCTTATCGCAAGGCCGTCTCTCTTGGCCCTACTTGGTACCGTCAACAGGCCATCTTCATATTTACTTGTATGCCGCCAATGCTTCGACGCCTTGCGGCAGCATTTCGTTTGCTTCGTCCATACAAGTGCGATGAAACACTTCCCACTCGTTTCGCTGGACTTGAACGATTGCCCGCTTGTCTGCAATGATCTGTTCACGGCGTTGTTGTTATCCCTGTTGTTCAAGGCCCTGCGCGATGAATCTTGTGATGTCGAAACATGGAAGTGGTGCATGCGTCGTCGCGTTACGTGCGCGGAGCTTACAAAATGAGACCCCATGGATAGGCTATGTGTATTTCTTTCCAACGTTTCTCGTCGGTCCGATCTTTGAGTTCAACGAGTACCTCGGATGGGTCCATACCCCCCGCATCGCTCCCGTCGGCGTCGTTCTGCGCAAACTGAGCATCTTGGCCGTGTGCATCGCGGGCCATACCGTGTCGGAAGCATTCTTTCCCGTCGCTGCCATGGACTCTCCAGAGTACTACCCGTCATCGTCGTGGCGATTTTTCCTGCAGTTGACCGCCGTCATGTTTTACAAATTTCGATTCGTACGTACAAAAGCTGTCGTCCTGTGGATGGGTGGCCAAGCGCGCGGCTGCCACTCGTTGTTTCATTCCATCTAATCGTTTGTGAATCCAGTACATGGTGTGGCAATTTGGGGAAGTTGGTGGCGTCCTTGCGGGCTACGGCTACGACGACACCATGGCCAACTGGTACGCCTATATTTGCACCACTGAACGATGCCGCCATGCTGGAACACAGGGATGGCCTTCGAAACAATAACATCTTGATGGTCGACTGTCCCGTAAATTTGCGCGAGGCAGTCAACAACTGGAACATCAAGGTCGCCAAGTGGCTCCATACATGTAACCTTGACAGTCTGTGTCGAGAATTCCAGGGGGTCAGTGGGGCGAGTTGTAGATGTCTACCAGCGCGTGGGCCACAAGCATGGCAAGCCGACGACCGTGTCAACTCTGATCGTGTTTGTCGCGAGCGCCTTGTGGCATGGCCTCATGCCGGGATATTACGCGTTCTTCGTGTTGGCAGCGGCCGGGGTCGAAGTCGGCCGACGTACGTATTCGCAGATTCCATCCATTGTTCGTTTGAGGATGTTGGACGAGTTGTCTGCACATCAGTTGCGGCCACGAGTTGAATTATGCAGTGACGTTTTGGACGATTCTTACCGAGCTCCTCGTGCTGCTAGATGTGCGACGTCGGTGGCGCCACTACTTTCACTACACTGAAGACCGCGCGGCCCACCCGTGGGCATGTTTCAGCGACTTTACAAACTCGGCGAAGGGATCCCCATTTGCCATTGTGTACGACTTGGCGGGTACGATGCCTGTTTATGCTGGTTGCTGTCGCTGGTGCACTGCCAATAGCATGCAACGTGTGAAGCGAGTGCAGGATGGCAGCACATGGGGGCGGCGAGGGACTCATTCGACCTGTGTCGATGTAGGTGTGGCATTGTCGTGGTTTATGATCCACTACACAGCGATATCCTTTGTGTGGCTCAACATGACGCGATGCTTCAAGTGGTGGGCGACAATCTACTGCTTGCCGCACGTGGTGCTCGTCGCGGCACTTGGGCTGTTTGCCCTGACCAACAAGCCAACGAAACAAGCGAAAATCCCGTCCAAGAAGGATACGTAAGCTGCGTCGACATGGAATAATGCAAACACCACACTTCACACACTTTCACCCCACGACCACATTGCCAGTTGACTTTTCTCAGCTGGCATCTGCATTGTTCTTCCCTCGCTTGAGCCCGACAATTCCTCGTAGCAAGGGCTAGTCGGAGCGATAATGTACCCATGCTAGCATGCAAAGACGAAAGCTTTTCAATGTACTTGAAGCCGTCGAACGGAACTGGAAGAATGCCTTTGATATCAACAACCTCATCAAGATTGACAAACATCGCGGCAGTGAACGGCGCATACCTCTCTCGCGCTTCAGGCAGACTTCCTGGGCACTGCAAGGCAAAGCAGGATTTGCCAAGGCCACCATGACGATATGCATGTGTTGCGAAGCATTTCCACCGGGTCCATGCGCCCCCATGAAAAAGGTCTGTGGATGAAAGGCATCTAGTGGAGATGGCGCCGTTTTCGACGAGACAAATCGAGGCAACTAGCGCGCAGTCGGTTTAATTTATTAAATACATTGTTCACACTGAGTGACTAGTGGTGGAGCCACGGCTGCGAGAGCAAGTCGGCGACCGTTGGTCGGTGCGATGGTGTTCTGGCGAGCATGGCCAGGAGAAAGCGCTGCCCTTCCGCCGACACAAGGCCCCATTGCGCTTGGGGACGGACCATGTGACCCCGAAGCATGCGCTCGATCACTTTGTCGGATTGCGAGCTGTGAAACGGTGCGAATCCCACGAGGAACTCAAACAGGACGACGCCGGCACTGAACACGTCAGCGGCCGGCGTCAGGGGAGGACTGCCATCGAGGGTGTTGCGGCCAAACTGGTACTCAACCAGTTCGGGGGCCATGTACCCCACCGTGCCACGTGTGGTCGGTGGAGCATCGTCGTCGGGATCGTGCAATGCAATGCGATGGGCAAAACCAAAGTCGGCCAGGATCATCTTTCCCACGTCGTCGTTTGTGTCGTGAAACAGGATGTTGGCGGGCTTGATGTCCAAATGAAGCACACCCAACGTGTGCAGCTCGTGCATGGTCGACAAGAGTGTGTGGGCCAAGCGTTTCGCTGCCTCCTCCCTTGCCATGCAGTTGCGCAGTGCGAGAAGCCCACCTTGGGCGATTCTGTCGGAGAGGTTGCCGCCTCGGTGATACGCCATCACAAGTCCGATGCGACCCGTGTGGTCTTCTACAGTCTTGTACAGCTTGGTCGTGTGCGCACCGACCCACGACTTGCTCCCACATGTCGCCAGGAGCTGCAAGATTTCGATTTCGTTGCTGGCGAGCTCAGCGTTGCCCGGTCGGTTGTGTGTTTCGATGGATTTGAGTGCAAATGTGGATTCGGACGCGGTATCTGTCAGCAAATGAACCTGCGACGACCCTCCTTGACCGAGCAATGGGCCGACTTGAAACCCGGCGAACCAGTCTTGGATATGCAGGGCTTCAGAGAGCACTTGGAGCCACGATAGCTTGTCGGCGGCAGAGGCGGCGGTGAATACATGACGTGTCTTGGTTGTGCCATCGCTGGAGGAGCTCTTCCTGCGTCCAAGCGTCCGATGCGTGGTGCTGTGGTTGCTGCAGCCGACCTCGACAATCGCAAACATCTCCGCGGTCAAGTCGTGGAACTGCACACGCATGGATGTAGAAAGATCTAGCGAACACACAGGGGTGGATTTGTACAACCCGTGGCCGGTGGCCTTGAACCACGACAGCTCTCTCCCGTTGAAGGTGACCCAACAGTCGACCCACGTGACCGCCTTCTTTCGCCACGGCATCCAACGGGATGCTGTCGTAGGAATCTGTAGCACACCCTGCTTTCGCGGCAACTTGATCGACGAAGCGGTAACGAGCTTGTCAAACGTCGACGGCAAAGGTACCACCAGTGTCGCGGTCGACTCGACCATGTAGGATGCGGACATTTCACTCAAAGCATAGCTGACCGATGAGTACGAAGACACAGTCAAGCCCTTGAGCTCGACGATGGAGTTGGACATAAACATAATGAAGAGCCTGCGTCCGTCGCCGACAATTGAGAACTATCACCGCCCCAAGGCCCTGGACCTCGCGTAAGCGCGCAGAGTGGGAGCATTAGTCGGCTCGGTGGATTCCATGCGGTGGTGGCGCGGGCGTGGGAGCGGGTCAAAATATCTACTGGACAGGCCACCATTTTTATATATCCGATCGTAATTTGCAACTTTTAATGCCAGGCGAGTCTATAATCTTACAAAAGAGAAACGAAGTCCAATTTTTGTGAACATTTTGATGCGCTGACGCAACGCAGGTCCGAGTGGTATAAATTTTAACAGGTTTGTCCCCCGGGAGCTCCTCCACCCGCTGACGTGCTGTCGACGCCCGCTCGAGCAAGCGCCGGCGTGCTGCTGACTCGTTGGTCAGGTCTGCTGGCCAAACTGGAACAATCCGATTCCAAGGCGTATCGTCGCATTGTCGTTCTATTCACAGGGAGACAACTCTCAATGGATAATCCAGACCCATCATCCTACAACGCGTTTGCCAAACACGCGTGACACGCCGACTGCGATTGGCTCGGCGGCAACTCAGGATCGCTCCGTGTAATGTTTCAGTGGGAAAGGCATCTGAGACGTGCTCCTGACCCGAGAGCAATGATGGATGACTGGCGCGGCGACTTGAGTCGAAGGAGCTGCCGCAAGTGTACATGTTGATGTCTATAGTAGTCGCTCGCCAACCTGGTCCGCCGTCGCAAGGACCTCGGTGGAGGTAGAAAAAGGCTCTCGAGTTTTCGAACCATGGGATGGAACGAAGTTGGCTTACGTTCGACCGGCGGGTCTTTCGACAGTGACGTGGAACCGCATGCTGTTGTTGCCAGGCCTGTCGCTCGCCTCGTTTGCGGGGGGGCACTGCACCACACCAACACGAATCGTTACATTGCGCACGCGCTGTGCGGGAAACACTGATATATCACGTCCTCAACGACGGCGTCTTCGGGGTCCAAGGACGCCACCCCACGCCAACCACACCGACCGTCGCACAGCGATCTCCAAAGACTAGCGCACGGAACCATGCGAGTGCCGACTTGCCACTGCTTGCTCGTCAAGTAGGGCCTCGTCTGGTCCGTTGTTGCGGAACGGAGTCTAAACAGCCAACATGTAGTGGTGGGAGCCACCGAGCGCAGTCGCGCGCCCGTCCTTGCTCGCCCACAACGTGGTGGATACAGTTGGACGAGTTGTTGTGTATGCGGTCTGTGGGAGCGTCAAATATTTTGACGCACACACGATGAACCTCTGAAATATTATAAGGTACGATATTTGTACGTAGGTTTGGTGTAATGATTGACTGTACACTGGGCGTACTGAACTGCACGCTGTGTACGAAACCGTTCAGGACGTTTCGCAAGTGTAACCGACTCGCCCGACAGCCAGCGCCGACACCACGATGGACATTGTACAGCGGATCGGCCAGTACTTTGCTCAACACGAGCAACAAATGAACGATGTCATGAAACAAGCGCTCGAGCGCAGCCAGAGTTTGGTTCCAGCGGCGCCACCTGTCAAACCCCCGCGGGTGATTCAAGGCGCCTTCTTTTCCTCAAGACAACCATCAACAACGACGAAGCCATCCTCTCCATCATCGTTGTACCAATCTGAGGACGTGCCAGACCCCCCATCTCCTGTCACAGCAGTACGAAAACCACCCCCGAGTCGACTCAAGCCAAAGCGAAAAAACTCGTCAAAGAAGAAACCAATTCGACCAACGCCGACCACAACGCCCGAGAAAGAAGCATCTACAATCACCAAACTGACCACAGCGCAAAAACTACAAGAAGCGTGGCGACTGACGTGTGAACGGGCCAAGAAGATTCAAGTAACCACAGCTCGAAATTACATGTCGAATGCGACGTCGTGATGCTGAACATTGTAGACCGACCAAGAGGCAAAACTCAAGGAGACCCAAGAGCTCGAACGGCATGAAAAGGCCCGGCGAGACAGTCAACTCCAGCAGATTGAAAGCGCCAGGCGACAGGCGTTTGCAAAGCCTCGCCCACCATCCCCCACAGTTCCTCCCAAACGTAATCACCCTACGTCGTCATTCGCAATGTTACCGATCGCATAGAGCTCAACGTTGCTGAAATATGGTGCGAACCCCGCCGTGCGGAGCGAAAGCCGCGACCGCAGCGACCAACTGTCGCGCTAAGGCCGGCAAAGCCATCAAAGATCCCAGACGAAAGCTGTCGCTTAGCACAACCACACTCTCAGTCCTCCGATCCCATCAGCAGCAACAATGTCCCCGCAGGACCATTGCTTCACGCACATCTGAATCCTGTCACGAAGTTTGGCCCGCCTCCGTCGTCAACACCATACCTGGACGAGCTGGAGGCCCGTAAACGAGCCATGGTATGCTTGGTCATGACGCGTATGTGCGCTTAGAATGCTGCTGTGTGCAGTTGCTCGAGCAAGGCACAGCGGTTTCAAAAGTTCGCGAGCAACTGGAACAGCAACGTTTGGCGGCCAAACGTCAAGCAGAAAAAGACTCCATGTGTCGTCGTCGCGAAGCGCACAACGCGGCGTTGGCAACCACAGTGGCGCAATTGCAAGTGGAGAAGGAACACTTGGAACAATCGTTGAGATCGCTACAGGTGCGAGTCGCTCGGTTTGTCCAGCGCTATAGCAGTGTGATCACAAATAAGACCTCACCTTACTGCTGCAGACCGAGGAAGCGGACCTGAGGCGTGAACGCCATCGTTTGACGATGGAGCGTCGTGCAGCACGTCGAACAGCTGCTGGATCAATCAAGCGACTGGAGACTCCAGAGGCAATCCAAAGTTGGGTACAAGAGGAGCGCGTCCGTGCTGCCGAGGCAAAGCTCGCACGGGACAGAGCCAAGCTCCGCGTTCAACGGCACACAGCTCATGCTGGAGGTCATGGCGGCCCCGAAACGTCCGACGACGACGTGGATGACTTGCAAGTGGAAACGACAGGATGGCACTTGAGCCCTCTTAGCTCGCCATGCTTCCAGAAGGCTCTCTTCACCTACAGCAGCAGCAGCAGCTCCGACGATAACAATTGATGCCCAAGCTCACACAAACAAAATGTCGGCAGGATGGCAATTCGTTCTCTGAAGTACGTTCTTGGAGATGTCAGTAGAAAAACACACAATTTACAGGCAAATCAACATTAAATTTGTATAGTTACCGGCCCGGTCAAAATTCAATACATAATTTGTCAACAGCGTAGTTTATACAACTAAATAGAAAAATCAAGAAGTACGGTTGGTTTGAAATTTCCCGTCTAAGTATGCTACATATCATCGGCCTCTTTGCATATTGAATCTTGTTTTCACTATCAATAATATAAATATGATCAAACTTGCATAATTGTTGTAGTAGGCTTTTATAACATTTAAAACGTGTGCACTTAAACGAGCTAACACTGTCGTACTTCAGAGGGACCTCAAGGTCGCTGGCGATCGCTGATTGGCTGAAAACACTGTGAACTGACGCTTGCCATGTTTTGCTTCGTCCGAACATTACGTAGCTCGGGAAGATGGTGTACGGCCACCCGAATGGGGTCAACTGCGTGAAGGGCGAGATACACAACGTCCTGAGTGTGATGCGGGTGAATGCTCGGTGGGCGACGGCAGCTCGGTTCAAGCGCGAGGTGCCAACACACACGCAGAGTGCATTGTTGCGACGTTTCAAAGATCTGCACGTCTCGCTGGAAGGTGTGATCGACCTCAGCGACGTGGACACGTTGACCGTGCTGGAGCCGTTCGTGCATGTCGTGGAGAGCGAAAAGACGTCGGGATTCATTACGGGAGCAGCGATCTCGAGTCTGAACAAGTTTCTCCTGTACGGACTGATTCCCCCAGACGGATTGCGCGCGACGGAAGCGATCAATCGCATCGCGCTGTGCGTGTCCCGGTGTCGATTCGAGGAAACCCACCGTGACGTCGACGAAATGGTCTTGATGAAGCTGCTCGAGTTGCTCGAGTTTTGTCTGCGTTGTGAAGCCGGACCGCTAATCTCGGGCGACAACGTGTGGAAGATGGTGCACACGTGTTACAGCATCTGCACGCAGGTACTGACGTCGACTTGTTCAACCGTCGTTAAATGACGCGATCCTTCCAGGCGCGAGCGTCCATGCACTTGATCCACATGGCGGAAAACACACTGGCCCACGTTATCTTGACCGTGTTCGACCGCATCGTCGACATGGACGCGCAGCTCGTCGCACCGTCCGTCACAGGACCCAACGAGAACGACGACGACGAAGGTTCTCCTCTAGAGGTACGTCCAGGATTAAACCTCCTCGCCTGATTGTCGGACCCTGCGTTCTGCACGTGCGCGATGTCAAGGCTGTGCCATTTTTTGGCTCTCTTTCTCCGACGGATTTGTGTGGTGATGGTTCAGATGTTGCATGCACCTCCATCGGCGGTCGAGGTGTGCGTTGGGACAAAAAATGGCTTGCCGTCGTGACACTGCTACCTGGGTCGCATCGCAGCCGTGCCACCGTCCCACTAGTACGACGAGCTCATTCGTTGCACTGCTCATGATGCGTGCCGGACGTGCGACGCGTGAAATTCTCGTCCAAATGGACGCCAACAGATTGCAATGGATTTTGCTGTGAATGGCCTTGACTGTGTGAGTGGTGTGGCTGTCACGAATGGATTAGAACGATTGCATTCGACCGAAGGCGCGTCGATGTGATGTCCTTTCATCGAGTCGTTGACGGAAAGGATGCCGTCTAGGGCGACGAAATGACTGGGCAAGTTGTGCTGCCGTACGGCATCCCAGTTTTGGAGCAACTGTTGCAGTTTCTGTCCGATTTGATCAAGCCCAAGGGCAAGGAAGACACAATTGTGTTTGGGTTGAGCTTGATTAACTTGGTGCTTGAGACTGCTGGAACGGGCCTCGGCGCGCATCCGTCGCTCGTGTCGGTGCTGCAAGGCGACCTGTCCAAGTACTTGCTTCAAAATTCGGAAACGAACGAGCTCCAGGTACGATGCACGAGGTTCGCAGACGCGCGTCATCGTGGTGGCGTGCAGGTGCTGAGCTTGACACTTCGCGTCGTGTTCAACCTGTTCAACTCGATCAAGGACCACCTCAAAGTCCAGCTCGAAATCTTCTTCACGAGCGTACACATGCGCATCATGGACAGCCCAAGCTGCTCGAATGAACAAAAGGAACTCGCCCTCGAGAGTTTGCTTGAATTTTGCCGTGAACCGGCGCTCATGCTCGATCTATACATCAACTACGACTGCGACGTCCACTGCACCAACTTGTTTGAAGTGCTCTGCACAGCTCTGGCCCAAACGACGCAAGGTGAGAGTTGACTCTGTCGATTTTTCACGGGATCATGGGGCCATGCTAGTGACGTATTTTCCGGACCTGCCCCCCGTGTTTAACATTTTGAACTTGCTCGCATTGGACGGGTGCGACAGCATGAATCGGTCGAGGAGGGCGTCGTTTGTGTAGCAATTTAGTTTCGATCTGCGGAAATGCGTGCCACCGATCTATGCGAGGATGGCTCAACCATGACTTGCTGGTAGATTACAAGCCGTCCTCGAGTCGATCGCACGGCGCTGTCCGCTCCACTTGACGAACTCGTCGAAAGTTGACGTTACAGGCACTGACTTGGCAGCGTTGGTCGATCCTGTTCACAACGGATTCGGGGCATCACTCCCTGTACGTTTTCATGTGTGTTTCCTCGCCATTCGTTCTCCATCTGCTGGCGATTTGTTGGATGTGTGGCTGGTTTTGGAGCGTTGAAAGAACCTCGGTGCGCTATCACCATGAAGTATGGAGGGGCACGTGTCTGTCGCAAAGTGGGCACAGCTGCTGCGGTATCCTCGCTGGTTCCGTTTTGGTGTTGTCGTTTTTCGTTTTTTGCGCAGTGTGTATCGCATTTAAACGATTGAGCCGTGCGACTTTAGGCCATTTCCCCCATGAGCTCGATCCAAGAAGTGATGCACTTGGTCATGAGCGACACGGAGTCGGACAGTGGTGACGCGGGCAGTGCCATTCCCGCCAACGATTCCCTCGCGTGGCTGCATACAGCTCGCGAGCGAACGGCAGAAGTCCTTCAACAACGTAAGAAGCGTTGCTCGCTGAATGTTAATTTTTTGTAAACGTGCATGATGCAGGCAAGCAGAACAAGAAACGGTACTTTTTGGCCGCGGAAAAATTCCACTCGGAACCCAAGAACTGGATTGCGTACTCACAACAACTGGGACTGCTGCCGAATCCGATCACTGCCGAATCCGTCGCTGCCTTCTTCCACCAAACTCCTGGTACGTTTTTGTCATATTTCGTTGCATTGTGTCGATGCCTCGAACTTGTGCAGTTGTTTCAAGGATGGCCGTGTCGAATGCAGCTGAATTTTTTGGATTTCAAGAATGCACATGGCAAACTTGATCTCACGTGCCTGCCGTTCACAAGTTGCATATACACAATGCTGACCATCGCGTTGTCGTTGAATATTTCGTAGGCCTCAACAAGACTTCGATCGGTGATTACTTGGGCGACGGACCAAAGGAAGACAAGCCATTTCACGAAGCTGTGCGCAACGCCTACGTGGGTTCGTCCCAGCCACCCGTTTTCTACTGTCGCTGCAACGTGTTGACGCGTAGGAATGTTCGACTTTCGAAATGCTCCGTTGGACGAAGCGCTGCGCATGTGCTTGGCCAAATTCCGCTTGCCGGGGGAAGCGCAAAAGATCGATCGGCTCATGGAAGCGTTTGCAAAGGAGTATTTCCACCAAATTCAGACGGAAGAGCATCCGTTTGCCCATGAAGACTGCGCGTTCATTTTGTCGTTTAGTATCATCATGCTCAACACCGACTTGCACAGGTAGGACGATGTCCCGGTCGTCCCTTGGATCAAACTCATGACATCGGTACAACCGTTGACAGCGATCAAATTCAAAAGAAGATGACGCTGGACGAATTTGTCCGGAACAATCGGGGAATCAACGGCGGCCAGGATCTGCCCCGCGAATACTTGGAGCTCCTGTACAACAACATTAAAGCCAACCAGATCAAAATGCAAACCGACATCTCCGACATGCAAGTCGTCACGACGGTGCGTGGGCTTGTGGTTGGTGGCTGGGATGGAATTTTTTCTCGTCGGCATGGGTTGATCTGAAATTGTACACTATATGCGTATGCGATGATGCGATGATGGGGAGTTCGTGCCAAACTGACTCGGTATGCCCGACAACGAATATGCCGCAACTTGGTTCGACAGCCCTGATGCTACCTGCTGACTTTGTGAATCTCGTCTGGGCACTTGTGATCGCACGAGTTGACTCGTCCAAGTTGTGTGCTTTGGTGTGTGGCAGCCAGTGAAACGCGGCGATTTTCGGTCGTCTTCGATTCCGCCTTGGAGGGTTCAGACCACTCCAAGGCCTCTCTCGTCTGGCCTTCACCCGTGCGCACTCTGTGTGTTTTCGAGTAGTGTCTACTTTAACCGCCCTCCAATTTTTCTCGATCAAGGGGAGTTGGTTCATTCGAAGTTGCGAAACGTTGTGTTGTGCATGTGGTCCAGGCTCGAGTAGACTTCATGGTGGTCCATTGCGCGTGTAGGTGGATCGGTACTCGGCACAGTGGGATGGAATCTTGAAGCGCCAAGAAAATGTCGTGGGTGCTTCGTTTACGTCCAACGCGTCAATTCTAAAGCTGCGCGCTGGTCGCCACGAACGGGAAATGTTTGCCTTGATTGTCGACAGTACAACGGAGAGCATCTTGAACGCATTTGAGCGCACGTGCGACGAAATGACCATGCAAAAGGTATCAAACGAGTTCGAGGGTGTGAAATCGCATTGCCCGGCACGTAGGCCCTGGACGGCATCACAAACTGCATCAAGATTGCCGTCTACTTCAACATGTTGCCCGAATTGAACAAACTCTTGGCCGCACTCGCCGCGTACGTTGTCGAGTTTGCGCACAGCGTCCTGAACGGCGACAAGGTACACAAAACCGCAAAGGAAAATCGCGACGGACACTGATGGGATGCTGTCGTTAGGTGCATGTCCCGCTCCAAGCGGCCCCCGACCAAATCGATGAGGACCGGTACAAGCCCGACTTCTGCGATTTGTGTGTTTCTTCAATGTCGAGTGTATTTGCGACTGCTGCCGCGCCTGGTTCTTTTGAAGGATTTTGCCTCATTCGGATGGGGATTTCTTTCTAGCGCGAGTCGCTTGAAGACGACGCGGACGCTGAAGGCGCTCGACGTGCTATTTGATGTCGTCCTCCAGCATGCAGACTTCCTCACGGTCGAATCGTGGACGTGTGTCGTCGAGTGCATGCTGCTCTTCAACACTCTCGACATTTGCCCGGCGTCGCTGGTCGAAATGGACGGTCAGATATGGACTGTGTATGATCATCGACTGCCGCTCATACTGTCGACTTAGACTTTGTCGATGCCCGTGGCGTGCCGTTTCCGCCAACGCAGTTGAGTCCGAAAGCCCTGGTAAGATCATACACGAGTGGGATTTTGAGTGGCTTCGATTGCCTACGACGGACCTCTCGATACCATCCACGTGCTGGTGGTGTGCATTCAAATGGATCGAGATCGTCGCCGCTGGTCGATTTTTGTATCGAGTCTTCAATGGCGGTTGTCTGACGCTCCACCTTTCAATTCAACACCTATTGCTTTTTATCGAGTGCTTCCTCACGCATCTCCTTGCATGAATGGCCCTCTAACATACCCCCCTACCGCTGCAACTGTAGCATAGCAAAAGCGGCAAGCTCCGAGAGCGGACGCGCCGTCTTGCCGAGCGCCAAGCGGCCCACCGCCAAACGATGCCGTCGACTTTGTCTCAACACCCTGCTTCGTTCTGGGACTCCCTGTCGTACTGGTGGGGCGAAGAAGAGGGCGAGGCCGACACCGACTTCCCCCTGGTGAGCGCCGCGCTGCGGGAAGCTGTCTCGCGGTGTGGTCAAGGGCTGTTGGAGCGTGAAATGTGGCTCAAGTTTTGCCGCAAGCTGCACAGCCGCAGCATCGAAGCACTTTTGAAAGCGCTGCTCCATCGAAAAACGGGCAAGAGCGAGACGGAAGGCGACATGGTCCAGGAGAACGCGATGCTCGCCCTGGAGTGGGCCACCAACGTGATCCTTGTCAACCTCCATCGTTTCGGCGCGCTATGGCCCCTCATGCACACTTATGTGGCCCAAGTTTTGACTGATCCGTCCAAACCGTTGCTGGTCGAACGAGTACGTGCTTGGATTCCATCCTACCTTGTCGAGACGAGCTTCTTGCCTTGCCGATTTGTGTCGATGACGCGCACGCTCGCAAGCTCTTCCATTCCCGAAAACGATTTCCCTGTGTGGAGCTGCACGTCAATGTGACGTATGTTGGCTCGTGCATGTTGTTGTAATGTCGATCTCCTAGGCGGTCGTAAACGTGCTGCGGGTTTGCATTCGGCTCTTCCACGATGCCGACTCGCGTCCGTTGCTGCTGGAGACGCTCGTGTTGCTGAAGGTACGCAGTCGTTGCTCAGGACAATGTCATGACGTGGGTGCTTGGTTGTAGAGCTTGGATAGCCCGATGTGGCAAGTGCTGGCGGAAAGAGTTGCCACAGGCATGCAGCTGCTGCTCAAAGCCAACTTGATGTACATGCACTCTCTGTCGCTGTCGACGTGGGAAATGCTGTTTGGGCTGCTCGGGATCGTGGCGCAGTACCCCGCGGGGTGGGCAGCGACCCTCGAGGCGATCCGGCAACTGCAACAAGATGGCGGCGTCCCAAAGGAATTGGTCGGGCTCTGGACAGGTATCGATCGACAAACGCTTGTGTTTGCTGCACCTCGCCTTCGTGAGGATGGAAGAGGTGTGCCGCATGGTTGGGTGGACCTTGCGTGTGGTTGGGCTGTGCATGTTGGAGACCGATCTCGGTCTATCGAGTGCATGGATCGTGATGGGATGGTTTCAGCATCTTTGAATGCACTCTGCGGCATGAAAATGGCCGCCGCAATCGTGTGGTCCATGTGGATCTTGATGCCGTGCCGTGCCAAGCTCACGGTGTCGCTGGCTGAATAGGCGTGTGCATGCGCCTCATTAACCAGCGCACGGGCGTCGAAGGCGACGCCCTCAAGCTGTTGTACGGGGTGGCCAACAGCGAGTCTGCAGACGGCAGTTGGATCGATTTGATGCGCATTTTGCTGTCGTACTTGCAAGACGAGCGGCCAGCAGTCGCCAAGATGGCATGGGACTGCTTGTACCGGAGTTTGATGGTCCCTGGCGTCAAGATTGCATCGCGTGTGTGGAAAGAATGCTTTGAAGAAATCATTTACACGCTGGACGATCGCTCGCGGTACGTCGAGTATTCGCTCGTGGCCACCCGTTTCGTGATGGATGGCTCACGGACGTAGCCACGGAACAACCAAGGACACGCGAGACATGAGTTTGTACAGCACGACGCTGTTGTCCAAAGTGTTTTTGTACAACATCCACACCCTCGCAGAGTTGGATTGCTTTGACGACCTGTGGCTAAACGTGCTCAAGCGCCTCGCGACCAAGCTGCAGACGCCCCACACGGCCCAACACGTTGAAGTGTACGAAACAACGCTGCACTCGTTGCACAACCTGCTCGTGGTCATGACTGCCGAGGGCATTTTCGACCAACACGCCAACCTGCTCGAGGTGTCCCACGACGTCATTCGAACGATCAGCCCCCATGTCATGCAAACACTCGGGGGACGTCCCGACGACGACGTTGCTCGAGACGATCCGGACATTGGGTCGGGGGACGTGCCCTCCGACGTTGGAGGCCCGGATCACTCTGCATGATGGTCGAAAAGTCGTCGAGAGGCTCGTACGATGTCTTTTGTCTCGCAGCGTATAAAGAACCGCATGATGTTCAAATGTTGTGTGGACTCGTTTCATCCATGTTGTCGACGAGTGTTGTGTCCATATGCGACCTTGACGGAGCGCCCCAGTTGGAATAACTCTGCGAGCGCCGTCCACGTACGTCGAGGGCGACCAACGATTCGTTTGGGGATGTGCTTTGCACGCCGCCGTGCAGCGGGGGTCGTTCCAGCGGAAGCTGCAGAGAGACTCATACCCACGGGCGGCGTCCGCACGAGTGGTCGGTACCACTCGGACGCTCCATTCCTGCGCGAGCGCTCCATACTGGGCGCGGATCAACTTGGACAACTCGACGACAGCGGCGGTGCTGCAACGTCATCCACCGACGGGTCGCCCTGCACGAAGCCAAGCGTACGACCGCGTTCGGGGTGTGTGTGTGAGGCAGGCCAAAACCAAACTGGCAGGCATGGATGGCCGCTGATGCATGCGCCTTCGGACGCGAACGTCCCGCGCGCTCCAGTTGCCGCGTCAGACGGGTGACGTCGCGCCCCTCGAGTTGTATACGTAATGTCGCGAGCTGGCGTGTGCAATCTGGCGTCGGACTCACCCAAAGTTCAGTCGAGCCGACCCACTCTTGGCCGGACGTCGGCTACGTTCGCCGTCGTCCAGACGAGTCCGCCGCCACTGTCGTTGCAACGCGTGGAAGCGCCTTGCGCTCTTGTAACACTCCCCCGAGGTGGAGCTTTGCCCCACCGGCGCCTCGCCCCATGACGTTTCCTGGATCGTTCCGTCGGCCACCTTGTCAAGCACCGACAGCCGCGCGCCGACCGACCCGTACTGTAGCTTCCCCAGTTCTCCTCGCGACGATTCGAAGCGCGCACGTGCTCGTGTTGCGAGCAGCGAAATATGTCGACGCAACAACCTCCGCGCCGATGGCCCCCGTCGTTGGGACTTTGGGTGCCACCGGTTCGGTCGGATGCAGCGCAGACTAGTCTGTCGCAGGCGCGCACACTCTTGCCTTCTCTTCCGTGCCATTTCGATAGGCTCGTCGACGAGTTGGAGTGCCGCCGCAGGTGGCATCTTCCCCGAGTTCTCTGGCCCAAATGGGGACGAGCGCAAACCCACCGCGGCAAAGATTTCGTGGAATCCAGCAAACACCTCTCCATGTCTTGAAGGGGGTGGCGGAGGCATCCATTAGTTTGACGCGTGTGCGGCTGTGGTCAGAGCACCACTGCACCATGCCGTCCATTTGCCGGGTCGGTCTGCCAGCGTTAGCGCGCCAGAGTTGCATGTGGACAGGACGTCGTCGCCTTGAAACGAGCGCTCTCGCGCAGGTGGCGGCTCGAATCCTGTCCGCTGCAAGCGACCGCCCCGCAGTCGTAGAAACCACGTATGGCACGACAAAAGTCCAAATCCGTGGACGATTGTGTGGGACTTCATGAGAACGGGGGGGGACATGGCCTTTGTTCCCGAGAGAAATACATGTACTACAGTGCATATCTCTCTTCGGGTCATTCGGCGGCGAGTTGTCGGGCAGCCGGCGCCGCGCTTGCCGCGGGGAGATAGGACGGCATAAAAACATGCTGGCAACTCCTTTTTTCCCCACGTGACGCAGACATGTCGCTAGCGCCGCGCGTTCGGCCGATTGTTTCTGTGACTTGGCCACACCGCGCCATGAGTATCCGATCGTTTGCTCGCGGCGGGTACAGTTCGCCGGGGCTTGATCGACCGCTGGCCCTCACCGCCGCATCCGATCGCACAAAGGTCCGCGTCCCGTGGCTCATCGTCCACCGCACGACCGGCGAAATGCTGACGCCCGTCGAAGGGCGTCCCCCGCAACAAGTCGTCCACGTCCGCCGATCGCATGGTAGAGAAATTGTAGACCAGATATACTGTAGGACTCGAAACTAACGGTGTGTCGGGATAACGCACAGCCGCACGATTGGTGGCACGGGGGCTACTACTAGTAGTACTAAAGCGGAAGCAGTGGCACTACCACCACAGCCAGGGGGCAAGGCGACAAATGCTCGCGCGGGCGTGCGCAAGAAGGCCGACCACCGGCGCGCGGGTGCATGCACCCCCATTTCCAGTGCTGCGGGTTGGACCATGCTGTGTGTTTGGGCTTCACATGCACCGACTGTCGAGGAAGGGGAGTGGCGGTATAGTAGTGGACGGTCGCACTCGTCGGTCTGTCGGGTCGGTTCGATTTTTTTTGCGGTGCAGGGCAACCGATCGGATGGTCGTTTGGCTTGCTGCGTGCACGAGCGAAGAAGAGAGCCAAGCACCCGTTGTCGCTGGCGACTGCGGTTTCGGCAGCGTCGCCCTGCTGCTCCATGCGCTGGTGGGGGCGGCGCCGTGGTGGCGGGCGATCGTTTGTGTCCTGGCGGCTTCCCATCCCCGCGACAGGAATGTCAGAAACTAGGCTCGGTGCTGTCGCCATCGCGCCTATCCATACATATGGACGATTCCCGTGCTCGCCCAAGACGCCGGTCGCGTCGTGGACAGCTCGCCGGGACAACACCACCCAAACGAGGCGTGCCACGAGTGCACGAGCCGCTTTGGGCCGCCAACCCGCGACGTCGAGTAACTCGCATCGTACTCGATGGACAATTCGATCGTGCGGCCGCTAGCTTCGCGGTAGCCGTCGCGCTGCCGCCCCGTACGGGCCAAATAGCCCGCTAGGCTGGCTCCACATGGCACGCCACACACGCCAAGTACCTGCGGTCCCACGCAGGCAGTTCAAAGTCTGCGAAAAATCCCACTCCGTCCAGAACGACGGCGCTGGCCTTGCGGCGGCATCGCCTACAACTCGACCTGGTATCGGTACAGTACCAGGCGACGGGGCGGCTCAACCTGTTGCGACTGCTGGTTTTATCAGGTGGGGGGGGATGATTCTCTGGGCGAAACGAAAATATCTTCACTTTGCAATCTCTCCCGTCGGTCGCAACCACGCGGCGGCCGTTGGCATTCGTCCACATGCAGCAAGAGCTCACGCCCCCCGCGACAACATTTGGCCTGCGCATTCAAGTGCCGACCCACGACAACCATTTTCAACGGATGCTGTACCCGCCACAGACGTCGCCGACCGACGAGTACTCGCCGACGGACGCGCGCGAGATGGCGCCGTTCCTGCGCAACCTGCGCAACATGCTCGAGATGGAGAGCCCGGAAGTGCTGCGATGGAACAAGGACGGGTCGGCGTTCGAGATTCACAACATGGACGAGCTCACGCACACCATCTTGCCCAAGTACTTCAAGCACAACAAGTACACGAGTTTCCAGCGCCAGCTCAACTACTTTCACTTTAAAAAGTGGACCAAGTCCCGCGCCAACGTGTGCACGTTCTCCAACGACTTTTTCCTCCGCGACGACCCGGACAAGAGCTTGTGGATCACGCGAAAAAAAGCGCTCGGGGGCAGCCGGTCGGCGTCGTTTGACGAGTCGGTGCCGACGCCGCGCACGGCTGCCGTCATGGTGGCCGAGGGATTCGACCCATGCGACCCGCGCCGACCGACCCCGCAAGAGTTTCTCATGAAGGACGATCTCGAGTGGCTCGCCAACTTGGAAACCGTGCCTCTCTCCAACGTCAAAGGCGACTCGGCTGCCCTCGACTGGATACAGCCGACTCCATACCCCGACGCAGCCTACCCCGACACGTGGGTCGTCAACGTGTGAAGCTTCCGGTCTCGCATCGCGGGTCTCGGGACCTCTTTGTTGGCAGTAGTTTGCGTGGCATTAATTTATTCGGGCTCCCCCACTACTTCGTTGGTCGTCGTGATGCTTATCCCATTCGAGGCCGAAAACCATCGAAACAACTCGCGGGCCACCGTCGTCGTCCTGTAGTCGCAAGGTGGCACCACGACGAGGAAGTAGCACGGTAGAACGTGAAGCAGCACATGCAACGGGGGGCGGCGACTCGCCTGCGTTTCGCGCCGCGATCCCGTTCGTTTTCCACTGTGAAATGCCGGTCTGGTCGCGGCGGTGGGGCTCGTGCTTCTCGCCTGCTCTTGGCCGTCGCAGCGGCCTGTGGACATCCGTCCGGAATCGACAGCAGATTCCAGTATCTTTTTGACGAGTTTCAACTTGACATGGTTTCGAAACGAGCTGTTCAAGTGGATCCGGGGGCGCTCGACGATCCGGGCGGCGAACACCACGCAAGGGACGCCGCCGCCCGACGGGGGGGGAGGAAGGGGGCGTGCCGCGAGTTTCAAGCGCCGACGCGACTCGATCGTGCTTGGTCATGGCGGCGGCATGGGGGCAGGCAGCGTCGGGCAAGTGATACCCACAGGTCACCGAGCAGCGAACGAAGAGCAGCGAATTCGAATGGGTGACTGCCACCGACCCCCCGGCGTTCAGTCGGGTTTCTGCACGCCCGAGTCGATTTGTATCGAGGTTGCAGCACCCGAGTCCACTCGACGTTCCGCGGCACCCCAGTCCCTTGAAACTCGAGCCCGTGATGGCCTCAGGTCGACAAGGCCGCCAGTTCGAGAGGGCCGACGGGGGCTGTGCCCGATTCCCCCCCAGCCCGGAAGTGTCGCGGTGGCGTTGTCCTACGGCTCGATCCACGTGGTGCACTGTCCCGTTGGTGGGGGCAGACACG